CGCGTCCCCGCCGCGCGCACACACACACACACACACACACACACACACACCCCCGCCTCGCGCTCCCTCACACCCACACACCCGCGTGCCCTCGTTTCACCGCGCGCGCACTTGGCGCTCCCTCATCGCACCTCACGCACACACACACCTCGTGCTCCCTCCTCATCTCCTCACCTCACACACACCCGCAGTCCACCCCTGTGGACTGTCCCCACATACACCCCCCACTCACTCACTCCCCTCCCACCCCTCACTCACACCCTGCACTCACATCCCCACACACTTCTCACACCACTCGCTTGCACCTTCACCTCCATCACACTCACACTGGACTCTCTCACACGCTCTTTGCACACCCCTCACTTCATTAATACAGCACAGGGAGATAAAATGCACTTTGGTCGAATATTTTTTGCAGCAGGCTCCACATCTGTGTGTAAAGAAAATATCAAAGCTGTTTTCAGTCCTAGGTGTGGAAATTGCCTTTATCAAGTAATAATAACATGTTACTTTGCCACGTCTCCTTGTGATGTAACCTTAGGTCAAGGTGCACAACGTGCACTGTTATGAACGTGACTCTCATGATATGTTGCAATACCACCTTCTGCAGCCTTATCAATGAGGGACGTTTCCTTCACTTTAATCAATCTGAAACACGATTGCTCAAAAGGGGAGAAAAATACGGGAAAGCTCGTGTTTGTGGTGTGAGGGAAAAGCACTGAGGGAAAGGCAAGAGGTAATTCTGGGGTTTATGCAGATCTCGGCTGTACTGAGGAGCTCTAAGGGAGAAGGAAGAGCACCACAGCACAGGCCTCAGACATCGACAGGGAAGCAAAGTCTTCAGAAGGTCAGATTAGACTCTAAATTCACTGTTTTTCTTTCAAGTTGATAATGTTTAACTTCTTGTTTTCTTCTGAAAGTCACTGCAGCATTTACATATATTTAGTTAGGCCGTTTCCAGTTGATGCCTTTTTAGAAATCATCAATTTTTATTTTATTTTTTTCTGCTTAAGGCAAGTGACAAAACTCTCTTCTAAAAGATCCTAATGGTTTAAATAACAATACATTGTGTCAGGAAAGATCAGTCTCCCCAGAGCTACGCCCCCACCCTGTGGCTGAATGAGAAACTTGTTAAAGTTGTTAATTTGTTAACTGTCTCTGACTTTTGTTTGCCTCAAAAGTCTTGCAGTTACTTTAGTTCCATGAGACCGGAGCCTATCACAGAATCAGTAGGACGCCTGAACTACTGTTTGTGTAGGTGTCTTTTTTTGTTGACACTGTATATGAGCTACATTGCTTCAAAAAACTTTTCTAGCTTTACTGTCAGCATTAGAAGCATTAGTATGGAAGGATTTAAAAAATAATGCTGCTTGTCACTGGAAAGATTAAAATGTTAAGGAAAAAAATTACAATAAAATTAGAGGCAGATTTTTCATTCTTTTAAAAAATGCTTTTCTTTTAGCTGTAGGAAAATTATTTTTTATGAAGTGTGGAGTTTGGCTTGTTGTTTGGTTTGGGTTTTTTTTTAAATTACTGTTTATTTCCTTCCAATTTATCTCAGACATACACATCATCTTTGCTTCAGAATGGGTATTTTATCAGTTGCTAGCATGTATTATCATTTTAAATCCAAAATCTGTAATTAGACAGAAAGCTTTTATTTTTGAAAGGATATTTTGTGTTAACTGAATGAAGTTTCAACTGAATATATGTTCCTTCTAGCTTGTTTTCTTTTCCCTTCTTTTCATTTTTTAAATGTTTTTAAAAAGGAAGTAATTTACAACTCTGTTCAGTTTTGAAGAGAATCTTTACTGTCAATTTTTTCCACTGAGCAAATGCTACTTAGTTTAACAGTAAGGGAGTCAATTATCAGGAGTCTGACATATCAATTACTACGAAATTCACCATCTTTTGTGAAGATGTAATTAATTTGCATTTGTTTGTAAGTTGTTTGGAGCTGTTATATTTGTACATTGTCAACCGCAGTAGCACCAAGCTGGTAAGGTCTCTACACGGTATCATAATACCTAAGAAAATAATCATCAGTTACATGTTTTTCTGCATATTAAGTGTATCCACTCTCGTAGGAGAAAACATTCTTCACTACTGGTATGCGCAAGACTAGAGGAAAGCTCCCAGAAACTTGTGTGAGATGTGATTGAGAACCTATTTGCTAGAGTAAGATTTAGAAATCCAGAGTGATTGTAGCATTTGTTGGTTTATACTAGTACACCCTTTAGCCTCAGCAAGGAAGATCTGATAAACTACCTACCTAACCCTTTCCCACTGTTTGGCTTGGTGAGTTTTTTTTAATTCTCCTTTAGCCTTTGTTATTCCTTTATAAAAAGAATGCCATACTGGTTTGCTAAAGTCAACAGGTGTTCTTTCTGCTAACTTCAGGAAATTTTGAATCAATCCTTATTTCTGGGTTATCAAAAATTGCCACACATGCTTAGTTTCGAAGTGACTTGATGACAAAGGCAGATGTTTGAGTGCATTACACATTCTACATGTCCCTTTGTGCACACATTGTATATATGATTTATGTGAAGCAATCCCATACCTTTTTTTTTGTGGTGCTAAATAAACTCCAACCTCACATGCTTTGATTTATGAAAATGTTTATACAGCTTTTCAGTAGAATTTAGTACACCACAATTTCACAGTTTATTGAACCTCTCTGTGGTGAAAAGCATGTGGAGGACAGAGAGTTTGGTACAGTGTGCGTTTAAGACTCATCTGAACATTACTTTCCTGTATTGATCTCAGCTGCATCTTTGTGTATATGGTTTTGTTGTTGTGTTAAAAGAGCTGCTGAACTACAGGTTCCTGTATGCTAGTGTACAAGGGGGGTTGTCTTGATCTCTTGGTGAATATGAGTCTCAAACAGTCCACATACAGCAAGCTAACTTTATTACAAGGTTAAAGCTGGGAGTGAGCTTTGTGTGGAGCCACAGGTATGCTAGGAAGTGCTGCAGAAAGGCAGGCATCATGAAGCTATTGCTCACACAATCACAGTGTTTCCAGATCTGGTACATGATGTCCATGGCTTATCCTAAATTTTGCATCTCAGTTTAGCATTTACTAATTCACAGCTCACTTCACTGAATAGTATGGAAATGCCCAAGGACTCAGAGGAAATCAGTAAGTTAGTTAAAATTTCGTTGCCAAAACAATTTTGGCATTCAAGCCCCGTGTATGACTGGCTCGAGGTAGTTTAAGGATTTCCTGAGCTAGAGGTTGTATCTGGACCATTGTTTTTAATAGTCACCAATGGGCCTATTTCCTAATCAATGCTCCTAAAGCCTTTTGCACACATTTATGCTTTTGGCTTTTCTGGGATACGTTAGCAATTGTTTCCTTATTTAATGATGTACTGTATGGAAAAAAAAACCCAAAACTTTTGCTTCAGACCTAATGACTTACTTGGTTGCACCTTAACTTCAGTATTGCAAGAAACAGAGCTTAATTACTGTCCATGCTATACTCACTAGGATTTTGCAGATCTTTAATATATTTCCCATCAGTGATCTCCACATCAACTTGAAATGCCTTAACCTGTTAGGTTGCCCTCATATTGAAGTCATTTTACATGTTTGACCATTTTTATAGCCATTCTCTGAACCTATAGCAGTTTCTCTATATCCTTTTAGAGATGGTAGTAATGGATTTCTGCAATACATTAAAGATGTATGTGTGTCAGGGGTTCGCTCAGTGGTACCATGATGTTTCCATATAAGTTCTAAAATGCTGCTTGCTTTTATGGCTGCTGCTGAGCACAGAATAAACCCTTACTCCAGGAACTGTTTATTGGATGGCAGTAGCTAATCTAAAACCAGTCATTGTATCTGTAGATATACAGAGTAATTCTAGAAACTTCAGTCAAAATAATATAGTTAATAGAGATTTCCATCAGTGTAATTGAAATCAGATTCTGGTCTGTGTGTAGTGGACATGAATCACCTTTCACCTA